ATGAGATACCATCTCACCCCAACAAGGCTAGCATTAATCCAAAAAACACAAAATAATAAATGCTGGAGAGGTTGTGGAGAGACTGGAACACTTATACAATGCTGATAGGAATGTAAACTGGTACAGCTACTTTTGAAATCTATTTGGCACTTCCTTAAAAAGCTAGAAATAGAAGTACCATATGATCCAGCAATCCTACGCCTTGGAATATATCCTAGAGAAAAAAATAAGAGCCATCACACGAATAGATATATGCACACCCATGTTCACTGCAGCACTGTTCATGATAGCAAAAAGATGGAAACAACCTAAGTGCCCATCAATGGACGAATGGATAAACGAAGTATAGTATATTCACACAATGGAATACTACAAAATGATAAAGAATATGCACACAATGGAATATGCACACAATGGTATATGCACACAATGGAATATCACGCAAGGATGAATCTGCAAAACATCTCATAACATGGATGAATCTGGAAGACATTATGCGAGTGAAATTAGTCAGTCGCTCACAACAGAGGGTCCCGGACAGAGCTGGAGAAAAATGTAGAACAAAATTCTAACTCACAAAAAAAGACTAGATTTACTGGCCTGACAGAGGCCGGAGAAACCCCAAGAGTATGGTCCTCAGACACTTTTAGCTCAGTAATCAAGTCACTCCCGAGGTTCACCCTTCAGCTAAAGATTAGACATCTCCATAAAACAAAACGAGACTAATGGGGCACAACAGTCCAGGGACAAGGACTAGAAGGCAGGAGGGGACAGAAAAGCTGGCAATAGCGAACTCAAGGCTGAGAAGGGACAGTGCTGACATGTTGTGGGGTTGTTAACCATTGTCATAAAACAATATGTGTTCTAACTGTTTAATGAGAAACTATTTGTTCTGTATACCTTCATCTAAAGTACAAAAAAAGATAAAAATAAAAATAGTCACAAAAGGACAAATATTGTATGAGGCCACTATTATAAGAGCTCAATAAAAGGTTTAAACACAGAAGAAGACATTCTTTGATGGTTACGAGGGTGGGGAAGGAGGGAGAGGGTTCTTCACTAACTCGATAGTAGATAAAAATTAGGTGAAAGGAAGGACACACACAATACAGGGGAAATCAGCACAACTGGACTAAACAAAAAGCTAAGAAGTCTCCTGAATACAACCAAACACTTCGAGGGACAATTGGCATGACAAAGTTTATTAAGAAAATGTTCTGCATCCCATTTTGGTGAGTGGCATCTGGGGTCTTAAAAGCTAGTGAGCAGACATCTAAGATGCATCAACTGGTCCCAATCCACCTGGAGCAAAGGATAATGAAGAACACCAAAGACTCAAGGTAAATATTAGCCCAAGAGACAGAACGGGCCACATAAACCAGAGACTGCATCAGCCTGAGACCAGAAGAACTAGATGGTGCCCAGCTACCACCAATGATGGCCCTGACAGGGAACACAACAGAGTCCCTGACAGAGCAGGAGAAAAGTGGGGTGTAGAACTCAAATTCTAGTAAAAAGACCAGACTTAATGGTCTGAGACTGGAGGGACCCTGGAAGACATGGCCCCCGGACTCTCTGTTAGCCCAGAACTAAAACCATTCCTGAAGCCAACTCTTCAGACAAAGATTAGACTGGACTACAAGACATAAAATGATACTCGTTAAGAGAGTGCTTCTTAGCTCAGGTAGATACTTGAGACTAAATCAGCAGCTCCTGTCCAGAGGCGAGATAAAAAGGGGCAGGAGCTGGTTGAATGGACACGGGAAATCTGACATGGAAAGGAGGAATGTGCTGTCACATTACAGGGAGAGCAACTAGGGTCACATAACAATGTGTGTATACATTTTTGCATGAGAAACTAACTTGAACTGTAAACTTTCACTTAAAACACAATTTAAAAAAAAAAAAAAAAGAATTGTCTTATGAGTATTTCCACCTGCACTCCTTTCATTATTAGTGACCCTTGGATTATAAACTCAGGGGATATTTGTTAAAATACTAAGTAATTCACCTGTGATTAAAATAAACTGAATTACATTCTCATATGTAGTTCAGTACACTTCCACTACTGACTTTCATGGCTTTCTTATAGATACTTGCACCATAAATTAATGTACGTAAATTCTTCAGCTGATATGTGATATTCTCTTTTTTAAACTGGGTGTACTCTGACTCCATTTTTTTCTCTTTCTTCATCATATCTGCTCTGTGTGACAGGAAAATCACAAAGGAGTGCAACTGGACACGACAGTAAGCTCCTGAAGCTCCTATACCTCGGAGTGTAATTGGTTAGTACATACAATCGGTTAGTAATAAGTAATTGGTTAGTATATGAATGAATGAATGAATTAAAAAACCAATAAACAAAAGAAGTCGTGCTATATGCCATGGGGAGTCCCTAGGTGGTACAAATGGTTAACGTGCTCCACTGCTAACCAAAAGGTTGGATGTTTGAGTCCACCCAGAGGCACCTCAGAAGAAAGGCCTGGTGAACTACTTCTGAAAAATCAGTCATTGAAAATCCTATGGAGCACAGTTCTACTCTGACACACATGGGGTTGCCATGAGTCAGAACTGACTCGACAGCAACCGGTGCTATATGCCATGGAGGAACAAAGGAAAACAGGATAGAATATTATTGTGAAACAGAAGACTGCACAGTGTATTAGATGAACAGGTTCTCTACCTGTAACACGGGAGACTCTTCTAGATTTGTCATTAGGAGCGACTGAAATAACAGAAATGAAAGCTCCTTGAAAACAGTAAAGCACTACTCAGAGACAGCATCTTGAATATGAACACAATGAATTGCAGATGAATTAAAGCTAGCCCATTAAGCTACAGCATGGAATTGCAGCAATCACATGGTGAAGTACCGAGCAGGGCACAGTTGATATTTACTGAATGAATGTGTGGTCCTGGTTCAGGCCTCACAGAATCAAAATGGGTAAAGGATATCATTGAACTTGGGAATCTGAAAGAACCAACAGTTACAGAAGCACTCTTTTTCTTGATTTTATTATTAAATGTTAAATTCAATAATAGAGAAACTAACATTTACCCAGGTTACAAACTAAGAGCTTTTCATTTTTCAAAGTCTCTAAAGATATATGCCCAGATAAAATAAGTATAGGCCAGCCTCCTTTGGTTTCATGGATTCTTTCCAAAAATTATTCTAGATTATTCAGCTTTCCCCGTGTGGTCCACTCCAAAACTCAAGAAATGACAAGTAATCGAACAGGGTACAGAGCAAATGAACTGAGGTACGTGTGACCTTTCCCCAAAGCAAAGCATGCATTTAGCCCTGATTTAACAAATTCTGATAAGAAGGCTTTCTCATTACTCAGTGCAATTGCAGAAAAGGTCTATTTGAGTCACGAATTGTCAGAATTTTAGAGCTAAGAAGATCTAGTTCAGTGTGTCTCAATGGGAGTGGTACTACACTCCTAGAGAGCATTTTGGAAATCTGTGAGGGTGTCTTTTAGTCCCAGAGGTTGGAAGGTCCTTCTGGCATTTAGAGGGCAAGGGCCACAGTTGCCAGATATCCTACAAGGAAGGCATAGGACAGACGTGCACAATGACGAATGTTCCCTTATCTCATGGGACTTTCAAATATCCTGCTGGACATTCATACAGGTTAAAAAAAAAAAAAAGCAAAATCCATAGATAATTACCTGAGCCTAGAACCTAACACCATCTAACATGTAACACAAAGTAATTGTTGCATGGTTTTAATATACACTGAATTTTCCAGGAGTGCAATTACTATGTAAATCAAGGCAAGACTCTAAGTTTTTCGCTTGAAATTTTACCAGCGTTATCCACCATTTCAGAAAAACATATCCAATGACAACACTGTTTGCGATTGTATGTTGCCAATACAACACACATTGTATTTGTAGCTGGTGATTCTACATACAGGCACAAACATCTAATCACTTAAGTTTATCTTCTAGGGTGGGTATGCCCAAGCTTTTTTATTGAAATACATTTTATTAAAAATTGCTTTCCTTTTTTCAGCTTTATATTAAGATATGGCACTATATTCATTTAAAATTACATGTGCATATAGGCTATATTAACTTTGAATTTCATTTCAGATTATCCAGAATAAAATATTTGTTATAAAAGGGCATACTGAGTTGGGTAGGGTTGAGAGAACCGTTAATCTCATTCAATCTCCTCAGTCTCTCATGAGGAAACAGACTCAGAGAGGTGAAGTAACTTGCTCAAGGCCACAGAGCAAGCTGATGACAGAGCCAGGACTAGGAGTGACCTAGTCACCTAGTGTTCCTTCCAGCACACAGCCTTGCCTCCAAGTGATGACGACATAAATGTGCAAAGAGTGAGAAAAATGAACCTCACACTTCAGAATGAGCTGGTGAACGTTAGAGTCCAGGGGCAAGGACTGAGGTCGTCTCTCTCTCCATCTCTATTGCCCAGCACAAGGGGCAAGATGCTTGAAAGCAGCATTTTTTTTCACCTGAAAAGCAGCAGGTGCTGGTTTTAGCATTGAGTTTATGCAACTTGAGCCATGGCCAATTCAGAGTTTCTCTCTGAAGGCATATGGATAAATCAGTCATTCCAGAGGCTTGTGTGTTAAGGCTGACTTTAAGAAAGGGCAGAAAGAGTATTATCTTAAGAAAGCATCATTCCATTATCATCTTGAATTTGAACTTTAAACAGTGCTTCACAGTGAATAAATCAAGGGATACACACTCCACTTTAAATCAATAAATGGTGCCCCTAGTTTTAGGCCTTGAGCTTAGTTATTATTAGCTAGATGGAGTTTATAGGAAGTCTAGATTTGCAAACAACTAGGTGGAATAAAACCAAAAACCAAAACCCGTTGCCGTCGAGTCGATTCTGACTCATAGGAACCCTACAGGACAGAGTAGAACTGCCTCATAGGGTTTCCAAGGAACAGCTGGTGGATTCAAACTGCCAATCTTTGGTTAGCAGCCGAATGCTTAACCACTGCACCACCAGGACTCCAGGTGGAATAGGTAAAGGGCATATCCTAGGTAGGTTTATATTTAACATGTGCGTTAAAACAATATGCAGAAGATAAACATGACGTAATTAACATTTATCTCAAAGCTGGATTCTACCTAAATCATTGCTCTGCATTCATGAAGCAAGAAAATTATCTCGCCTATGGCTCTAGGCTCACCTACTGGCTTCAACATACGGTACTCAACTAAGCCGAACTGGGCACTCTGAAAATAGAAGAGAGAAGCAAGCCAGCTATCTCCTATTAAGTCATCATGCTTCTACATTTAGCCTTAAATCACTGCTACTCGTTTATGAGTTTCCAACCTGAGATTAGGGCTATCCTCCAAATCTTTAAAAAAAAAATGAAAACATCCAATACTGTTTTCATTGTTTTCACAGTAAAGCTAATATCAACACTGATGATCAATCTTCGAACTAAATTGACTTGTTTTATCTTTTGGACTCTGTGTAGTAAAGATTTTCCACTTTTTTTCATACAGTTTGCTGTAAAACAGCCTAGTATTTCAGGATGGAAATCCTGAACCTGTATAATGGACTTTGCTTTGAATGAATATGATCCTAAACGCCTATGCAATTGTTTTTTATCAAATTAATGGAATTTGTATCTATAAAATGAAGTAAAATACAGTATGTCTAAAGTTACAAACGCACTCAGTCAAAACATTTAACTCTCTGTGTGGAGTGATACACAGAATTGCCTTTTCACACTATCTTAAGTGAGGTCTGAGGCAGACACAGGAGGCAGACGGAGGCACTGGGGAAGCTGGCTGTTGCAGATGTTCTGTGGCAAAGGAACATGTCTGGTCGTTTCAAAACCCTAGGGAGAAAAACAAACAGTTCGTTAATACGGTCACTTTCTTAGAATTTATTTTGGAAGGGCCTAAATCAAAGAAGGGCGTTCGTCTAGGTTTACAGCAGTAAGACCTCTCTATTGGAGGCACCTCCAATGTAATCCATGGGGCTTGGCAGATGACTGTTTGCTAGGGTACCATCAGTGAGAGGGCTCAGTAACAAAAGGCTAGAAGTGGAGGAAAAAGATGTTCCCTAGGAAGCAAAACAATCATTTTGCTGCACAATGCTGAGTACTAAACAGAATATTAAAAAGCAGAAAGTGCAATCTATCTAAAAGATTTCACTTACTTGGCAATCCACACCTTATTGGAGAAGGGCTCCGACTTCGAGACAGCTGGAAAATATAAAAATATAACATGAGTTATACAGTAGATGGAGCTCAGTGGCTGAATCCTTCTGGCATGGTTCTTTTTCCAAACACTAATGAAATAGTTTCTCTAAGGTGCTTTAGAACTACGCTCCCTCCTCACGCTCCCAAGATTGACTATTGTGATTCCTTTGATACTTCCTGAAATCAATGGGCATTCAATATGGTTTAAATTATATTATTAATTAAAAGTTGGGCTAAATGGCCTAAGGGCAGCCACGCTGAATTCAATGCCTTCCAGAAAATAATTATAATTATTATAATAATTAATAAAAGCTAAAATTATAAAATACTCTCTGGCAGACCTTTTTTATATGCATTATCTCATGAGTTCCAAACCCTACCCTATTAAGGAGGGTCATGAGGCAGCCAGAGAAGAATCATTGTTCAATTGTCACTAAGCCTTTCACTTTCACTAAGCAAAGGCTACCACAGACTGTTACGGCTCCAAAAGACTTGCGCTGAGCTTTCCAACACTTTAGGTAGTAGATGCTAATGAAGATAGAAGCTATTCTGGATAAACTAAAGCCTCAAATAAGCCAGAAACACAGATTAACCAAAAATGTTAGTAGTTGACTTTAGAAGCATATAGAGTCATTTACGAAGAGAATGAAGGAAAGAGAAAGTGGGCAACCGTTTCACCTCTGAGAATACACTTTATTCTAGTCTAAAATTTAAATTACTTTGTTCTCCCTGAGCACTACGTGGGAAAGAGAGAGGTGGTTCAAACTTGTACAGGGGCTAATGATACAGCAACATTGCTATGGATAAGTCAAGAGTTTAAATTTTCCATGGATGTAAGCACAGCAGGTGCCTAGTACTGCTCTTCCTTCTAATATGCCATTTCCTCTTGGAATGGGAAGAGTTGTGATTCTCCTAGTATAAAACTCTCAAGATTTCCTTTTTATTTATCAGTCCACTAAGTGCACTATCCTTTTGGTTTTACCTATTGTAAATATTTATTCATAAAAAAAAGTATAACTGAGTCATATTAAATTCTCCAAAAGAGAAGAGACTGCGTCAGATAGTTGCCTTTGTGAAACATTCCTTTATTTTCCACTTCTGCAATATTTCTCAGGCTATTTCCTTCACCTGTAATATTCCTCCTCAATTTCCCAGCCCATTGAAATTGCGCCCATTCTAAAAGGCCAGATCAAATACCACCTCCCCTGTGAAGCTCTTCCTCACCCCCAAATTCAGAAGTAATCTTTATCTCCTCTGATGGCTCTAGCCCTTTGTGCTTCTTTTATGGACTGTATCATAAGCCACATACCATCAATTTGGTTAAATTATACTGATTTTGCTGTATTGAAACCCATTCAGGGAGGAGGTAGTGTTTTAGTCATGTTTGTGTCCCTCCCAAATCTAGCACCCACCAGAGCCAAAAGGAATGCTTGACAAGAAACATGCTGGAGTAACAATAAACCCATTGCCATCAAGTCAATTCCAACTCACAGCAACCCTATAGGACAGAGTAGAACTGCTCTGTAGGGTTTCCAAGGCTATAATCTTTACGGAAGCAGACTTCCACATCTGTCTCCCGTGGAGTGGCTGGTAGGTTCGAACCACCAACCTTTCAGGTAGCAGCCTAGCACTTAACCACTTCAAGTAACAAGAGAGCCCACTAAACAACTGAGCCTACTAATCTCAATAAGGGGACATTGGTGGTTCCGTGGTAGTACCGCATTTTTACACAAATAATGTGCGTCATCTACATTTGTTTGCCAACCACGCCCTCCTCCCCCCACCACCACCACCATGAGGTATTTTCATAAGCATGCTATGCTTTTTTTTTTTTTTTTTTAATACAGCAACATATATTCTCTCCTTCCATGTGGGAGATCTGGGTTTAATTCCCAGCCAATGTACTTCATGTGCAGCCACCACCCATCCGTCCGTAGAGGCTTGTGTGTTGCTATGGTGCTAAACAGCTTTCAGCAGAGCTTCCTGACTAAGACAAAGTACAAAGAAAGGCCTGGCAATCTATTTCTGAAAATCAGCCCATGAAAACCCTATGGATCACAATGGTCCAACCCACAAACCAATCACAGGGATGGCACAGGACCAGACAGCGTTTCGTTCATTTGTTCAGTTGCACATGGGGCCACCGTGAGTCAGGGACCAACTAACTCCAAGGCAGCTAACAACAACAAACTCAGTAAGAAGGGTGGAGCTTATTAACTGCAGGATTTTTTCTTTGCTTTTGTTTTGCTGAGGGCTTTTGCAAGTTTAGGGCTAAAGCTGCATTACTAGAGACAATTTTGGAGAAGTGGAGCATTGCCTGATATGGTTCTCCTTCTTCACCACTCTCCCTCTCTTCTAAAACAAAGTTGAAGAAAATATTTAAAGAATACTGACTTGAAGAAACAGCAAATTGCTAGTCTCTCTGGTGCCCGTGTGTCTTGGTCCAATCTTGTATTCAAAAGTCATTGACCAAATATTTATTGAATTAATGAACAGTGATGAATCATATGTTTTCAGGGATGTTGTCGCCATAGTTTTCAGAGATATTTTCCCTGTTGCTAATTTTTTCTTTGACAGAATTATTAGCAATCCTCCTAAGACCTAATAAGCAAACAGACTAACCTTCTTCTTTGTACTTTGAAGTTGGGGAAAAATTGATACCTGCAAAGCCCTTTATAAAGTATGGAATCCAGACCATCTGAGCAATTTCTCCAAACTCATACAAGTTCTAGAGGAACCAGGGACCTGGGCCCAGGCCTGTTGACTAAAATGTCCCTTTCTCCATTCAGAGGACTATATGATCTCCAGAAGCCTGATATCATTCAAAGATAAAAATTAAACTATGAAGTAAATAAAAGTCTAAGGAGAAAAAAGAATGTATGCTTCCTTCTTTCTGAAACGATAAATTCCTTGGCCCACCAAAAAAAAAACCCCATTGCTGTGGAGTCGATTCTGACTCATAGCAACCCTATAGGATGGAGTAGAACTGCCCCATAAGGTTTCCAAGGAGCAGCTGGTGGATTCAAACTGCAAACCTTTTGGTTAGCAGCCCAGCTCTTAACTACTTTGCCACTAGGTCTTCCCTTGGCCCACAGTAGTATAAAAATCAATTTGTAGTTAGTGTCATTGCAACAGGTTCTCTTTCTACCTATACACTTGTAACCACCTCTTTTATAGGTGAATGTTGAAGCAAAGTTTCAACCATAGAATGATTTTGTGTAATAAATGATTAGACAGATAAGTACCGTGCTTAAACCAATACGGCTACGAGGGCAAACAGGACTTAGACTCCGGCTTCGACATCGAGTTATAGGCCGCACCGAATTCCACTAAACAAAAGAGAGACAAATAGTCAATAATTCGTGAAAGTTGGCATGGCTAAAAACAAGGTGTATATCTCAAATTAGAAAGAAATTTTACTGATATGATTACACCTGCCCATTAAATCCGAAGGAGGCACACTCCTTTCATTTCATACTTGCCAAATATTTGACACTAACTTTACAGTATTTCTCAAAATCCCATTATGATGAACTTTGTGACATAAAAATTATTGGTGCTATTTTAATTTTGTTTTGATGAGCAAGCTGTAGGAAATTACATTCCAAATTTGCCAAGAGTTGGAGAGCATAAGATCAGTGAGGGCAGGCATCTGTGTCTGTTTCGTTCAATGCTGAATTCCCAGCACCTTAATACAGTGTCATAAGTAACTAGTCAATATCACCCAATAAAATAAGTGAATGAATGAATGAAAATTTGCTGCTGCTCATCTACTCTAACAGAATTAATAAATAAGAAAACTATACTGACTATGAGATTTTACTAGTAAAACCTTTCTTATAAATTCCCCCTTCATTTGCCCCTTTCCTTTTCCAAGTTCCTCCTTTTAGGGTATTGTTATTTTGTTTTAAGTGTTTAAGCTTGGGCAAATGTTGGTGCTATACTTGATGGGAGAGAAAAAGGAAGTTAAAAGGCAATTGTTATTTGATATTAGAACATAAGAATAATGGCTATTTCTTCTCCCTCCCTTCAAAACTGCACTGCAGACAGTATAAAATAGTTTTCTTAACAGGGATTGATTGTTATAGGGGCAAGAAGGATGTTTTATGAGATCATTCACTGCAGAGCATGTGTGATTGTCAGATCAACAAAACCCAGTTTCTATGAGCTCAACTTCCATAGCACAAAACACTTTACTGAGATAGTGTTCATTGTAATGGGATTTTTAACCTGCAAAAACCCTTAAGTTCTTTTAAAATAAACTACTCCCCTTCTTTATGTGCAAAAAGCTACCACAAAGCACCTCCCCTATTCTCTGTTCAAAGGGAACAGGGACAGAGACCACCCAGATGGTGGCTTTGCTCTAAAGAGCTTCACTTCAGAATTTGCTTAACTCTTTCTAGGAAGGGCAGGGGTAAAAACTACATAATGTGAACTATGCAGAATATCTAAGCATCTGTGGCTTCCAGTTCCAACACCCAATCCCCACCTCAGCGCACACGCACACACCTACACCCTTCCTTATGTACCTAAGACTCCAGTTTGAAGGCTGCCCAATTCCTGAAACACAGCACGTTTAAAACATTCTATCTCCAACGTACATAGGAAGCAACCTTCCAAACTAGTTGGCTTCTCTCTCCCCACCTCCTCTGTCCTTTCTTTCTCCATCCCTCCCCTCCCCACACATACAAAGGAGAGAAACACAGTGCACATTCGTAGCTTCCAAAAATGAAGACTTTTCAGTAAAAAATTTGGCAAAATGTTTCCATAAAGTCAATCGATCATTTCAAAATGCTTAGGACAATAGAGGGCCTCCAATAAAATGAGTTCAGAGGACTTTGCCTTTATAATATTGCAAGTTTTCTAAGATGGAGGAAGCAAATATGACTAGTTCCATCTTATAAATGAAGAAACAGCAAAGAAATCACTGCCAGGAAATGATGAAAAATCAAAAACAAGAAAAAAGGTCTTTTCTTTCCCAGCCAGGCCCTTGTACCACACACTTCCTCCCCTTTGTATGGAATCTTAACAAACGACTCTTCATAGACTTCTTTTAGAGAATCTTTGGGTTTATAAATGTTCTCGAACTTGTGAAGCAAACACTTGGGATGAATGGTCACTATGCAAGGCCACCGTACAAAAGCCCCTCTCTTGGTGACAGCTTCTCCCTTCATAACAACACAATCATTCTCCATGAGAGCAGGCCACACGTGGTAGAAGACCAAGGGAGCGGTGAAATCAGAGTCATAGCTGCGACGGTACCTATTTTAAACACACAAAAGAACAAGAAAGAGAAGTTAAGCCATTATGTAGCATCTCTAGGGGGGAAAAACATCATTTTTTATCTAGACAAATAGGGATCCTGATTCTGTTATTAAAGAGACGACTGTAGCTCTTAGAATAGGAACCGGTGATAACCTGGACCCAGCACAGGTTCACTAAGAACAAGTCATGTCAGACTAATCCTGTTTCTTTTTTCCTCAGGATTACAAGAGTTAAAATCCAGGGAAATGCTAGAGATGTATCGCATAAGGCTTCTTAAGAGATTTCTCATCATATTTTTGTGGACAAAATAAGAGAACTATGACCAATAACCAGCTGCTACTGAGTTTACATCAACTCATGGGGACCCCCCATGTGTGAGAGCAGAACTGTGCTCCATAGGGTTTTCAATGGCTAATTTTTCACACGTAGATCACCACACAACCAAAAAATATGTGTGTGGTTACATATGTAGATATGGATGCGTATATGTATATAGGAAGGCATATGTGAGGCGTCTCTGGGTAAACCCCAACCTCCAACCTTTCGGTTAGCAGCCTAGCCTGTTAACCATGGAGCATAGGTGTATCTGCAAGTATAGGCGTATCTGCAGGCATATCTATATACATGTTTGTGTGCATTGCATATATGTCCACATATATAATAAACCACTCGGGACAGTTAAAGAGGCTTCCTAGACATATCCAAACAACTTAACAGATTGGTTTACTGGGTTAAAAGGCTTAGGACCATAGTCTCAGGGGACAGTTTAGTCAATTGGCATGACACAGTTCACAAAGATAATGTTCTATATCCTAGTTTGGTGAGTAGCATCTGGGGTCTTAAAAGCTTGCGAGCAGCCATCTAAGATACAACTATTGGTCTCTACTCATATGGAGCAAAAGAGAATGAAGGAAATCGAAGGCTCAAAGAAGAAACTAGTCCACAGGACTAACAGCCTACATGAACTACAGCCTCTTCTAACCCGAGACCAGAACTAGATGGTGCCAGCCACCACTACTGACTGTTCTGACCAAGGACACAATAGAACATCCCAGAAAGAATGGGAGAAAAATATAGAACAAAACTCAAATTCTTAAAAAAAATCAGACCTACTAGACCGATAGATACTAGAGGAACCCCTGAGACTATCACCCTAAGATACCCTTTGAACTTGGAATTAAAGCTATTTCTGTACGTACCTTTCAGCCAAATAATAGATTGGTGTATAAAATAAACACTATTACCCATTAGTAATGTGCTCCTTTAAACAATTAACTATATGAGACCAAACGGTCTACATTTACCCAAAAGCAAAGATGAGAAGGCAAGGAGGGTTAGGGAAGCTAGATCAATGGAAACAGAACAAATAGAATGGAAACAGTGAGAATGCTGACACATTGTAAAAACTGCAACCAATGGCATGGAAAAATTTTTATAAAAATTGTTAAAGGGGGGCCACATAAACCAGAGACTTCATCAGCCTGACACCAGAAGAACTAGATGGTATCCAGCTACCACAATGACCACCCTGACGGGGAACACTACAGAGTCCCTGATGGAGCAGAAAAAAAGTGGGGTGCAGAACTCAAATTCTAGTAAAAAGACCAGACTTAATGGTTTGATTGAGACTGGAGGGACCCTGGAAGACATGGCCCCCAGGCTCTCTGTTAGCCCAAAACTGAAACATTCCCGAGGCCAACTCTTCAGACAAAGATTAGACTGGACTATGGGACATAAAACGATACTCGTGGAGAGTGTCTTAGCTCAAGTAGATACAAGAGACTAAATGGGCAGCTCCTGTCCGGAGGTGAGATGAGAAGGCAGAGGGTCAGGAGCTGGTTGAATGGACATGGGAAATTCGGGGTAGAAAGGAGGAGTGTGCTGTCACAGTATATGCAGAGCAAGTAGGATCACAAAACAATGTATATATAAATTTTTGTATGAAAGAGTAACTTGAATTGTAAATTTTCACTTAAAGCACAACAATAAAAAAAAAAAAGAAAATTGTTAAAGGGGAACCTAATTTGCTATGTAAACTTTCATCTAAAACACAATAACATATTTAAAAAAAAAAAGTAGATCACCAGATCGTTCTTCCAAGGCACCTCTTGGTGCACTTGAACTTCCAACCTTCTCTTAGCAGCCAAGGGCTTTATCCATTTGCACCACCCAGGAACTCCATAGTTAACAGGCTAGGCTGCTAACCAAAAGGTTGGAGGTTAGGGTTTACCCAGAGGGGCCTCGGAAGAAAGGCCTAAGGGTCTACTTATGAAAAATCAGCCATTGAAAACCCTATGGAGCACCGTTCTACTCTCACATACATGGGGTCTTTGTGAGTCAAAGTTGGCTTGACAGCAACTGGTTACAGATGGATGATAACTTAATTAGGTGAACTGGAAACTTGTTGAATGGCCATATCCAAAGTGGGGGAAGGGGGGTAAGTAATAGATCAATGAGAACCTATATTTAGGTGCTGAGGGCTCTCTCTCAATCTTGTGATAAGTCACAATTTTTATCAATGACATATAAGAAATATAGGAAACACACTCAAAGGTGGGGGGTGAGTAGTAAAAAAAATTATTAGATGACAGTATTAAAAATAACTCAGGGTACTTCTTAGGCATAACCAATCACCCACGGGATTAGTTTCCTTGGTTTTTGAGACTTAGGACCCTAGTCTTGCAGGACAATTCCGTCAATGGGTATAGTATAGTTCATAAAGTTTATGTTCTACATCCTAGTTTGGTGAGTAGTGTCTGGGGTCTTAAAAGCTTGCAAGTGGCCATCTAAGATACAACTATTGGTCTCTATTCATCTGAAGTAAAAGAGAAAGAAGGAAACCCAAGAATCAGAGAAGCAACAGGACTACAGGACTGCTTGTTTCCATGAACCATGGCCTCCTCTACCTTGAGACCAGAAGAACTAAATGGTGCCAGACTACCACTTAATGAACGTTCTGATCAGGGTCACAATAGATGGCTCCTGATAAAAAGGGGATAAAAATAAGGAACAGAAATTCAAATTCTCAAAGAATCCAGATTTCCTGGATTCATTGAGACTACAGGAATCCCCAAGACGATTGTCCTGAGAAACTCTTTAAACCGTGAACAAAACTATCACCTGAAGTCACCTTTTAACTAAATAGCAGGTTAGCACAAGAAGTAAACAATGCCACTCTTGAGTATTGCCCTCTTTTAAAAAATTATCTATAGGAGATCAAATGGATAATAGTTACTCCAAACCATAGTTGGGGGGCAGTAAGACTAAATCCATGGGAATGGAAGAACTAGAACAGAAATAATGAGAATGTTGACACAATGTAAAGAATGTAACCAACGTCACTGAATATTATGTGTAGAAATTGTTGAATGGGAACCTGTTTTCATGTGTACACTTTCACCAAAAATGCAATATAATATTTTAAAAAAGAAAAAATACATTAAAATGTTAGATAACTGTATTATGTAACCGTAATAGTTTTTTTCTTTTTCCAGAACTTGTAACAAATCAAAACTGGCTAGCATACATGAAAAAAGAAATGTATAATCTGGCTAATAAAATTGCAGCAATAAGAAAAGGTTCAATTCCTCTTGGCCAAATTTCAATTTCTCATTGGACAAGAAGCTTTAGCTAAAGCCAACCAGCTTGTGATGTGGTAGAAAAAGAGTTAATCTAAGATAAAGAAAACTGATGCTCAAAAGAAAAATAGCTCAGGAGGCTAGAATGATAAGCTGAATTTAATAAGATAAAATGCAATGTATATACATACGACATCCTACAAATTACCCTAAAAACTCAATTTAACTGCACAAAGAGAGGCGATATATGAAAAAATAATAACAGGTTTTAGTTGAACTCGAAATGAGTCAACAATGTTATAAGGCTGGGGGCGGGGGGAGAAAAAATTACTATAAATTAGATGAATTAACAGAGAATAAGAATGAAAAGGTTGTTAGTCAAACTAGAGGCCTACATTCAGTTCTGGATACTTTCTTTAAAAAGGAATATTCAGAAGAACATGGAACACAGGTCAGGGAAACTGATCTATTTGTCACAAAGTCTCAGACTCCCTTCATATGAAAATAATGTGAGGTTATCAGACCAGAAGAAGGAGGATTTGAATAATTGTCTTCAAAAGACTGCTACAGTAAAAGAAGGTTAGACTTGTTCTGTGAAGTCCTGGAAGTAGAACCAAACCTGATCGTTATTAGGGAGTCTGGTTTTAGCTCCACAGCCATCCAGGAGTACAGGCGATAGGATGCCCCAAGGTACTTCTGGTTAAAGGCATGTAAGCAGGAGACCTGCCAGAGATCTCCCTCCTTGGGTGACTTCCTACTGTTAAATGTACAGATTCCATAATATCAAAATGGGTGAATACTTCTGAGTGTTACCATGGCTTCTCTAATGGAAAAAGAAATAAAGGAAGTGGTATGAATATAATATATTCCACGAGGGAATCAAAACGACCTAACAGAAGTGTAATGTTCTAATATCCAGCTCTTCCATGAGTGGACACATGTTGTGAGCAGAGATTTGAAAGAAACTAGAACTAGAGCAAGGACAAGAAAATATGACATGTTACAAGGCAATGCCACCATCAAGATTGTCAGTTTGTCATATTGTGGTGGCTTGTGTTTTGCTATGATGCAAGAAGTTATGTCACCAGTATTTCAAATCCAGCAGGGTCACCCATGGTGGACAAGTTTCAGCAGAGCTTCCAGACTAAGACAAAGAAGAAAGGCCTGGCAATCTACTTGCAAAAATTAGCCAATGGAAACCCTATGAATCACAATACAATACTGTCTGTTATAGGGCTGGAAGATGAGCCCTCCAGGTTAGAAGACACTCAAAATACAAAGTGGCCACAATAGTGGACGTGACCATACCAAGGATCATGACGACGGTGTAGGACCAGGCAACACTTTGTTCTGTTGTAAATGGGGTCTCCATGAGTCATAGCCAACTTGAAAACAACTAACAACATACGGCAATTTGATACCCCGTCATTGCTTTGACGTGCGTACACGAAAGATGTATGGTCTCTGTCATTAACAAGTTTGCAGGGATATTGGGCTACCAACAACCCGTAACTCTAAAGACCTGAAGCTAATGTTCCTGAACGCTCACCACACATCAGGCAGTGTTCTAAGTGCTTTATCTGAATTATCTAACCTTCTACAGCCCTAGGGAGTAGTATAACAGGGAAGAAAACAAGGCACAGAAAAATTAACATGCCCAAGATTATACAGCTAACAGTCATAGAGCCAGGAATCAAACCTAGGCAGCTTAACACCACAGCCTGTGTTCTTAATCACTAGCTTGGCCTCTTCCCAGAAAATCTCCGGCTATATCACAGGATCTCATGAAATTCTCAGTAAAATGTTTAAAATTAATTTAATTTCCTCTAATTAATAAGATAAATATTTACCATGTAAAACTTGCTAGAAACCAATGGTCCTAGACAGAAGAGTACAGTAGTAGTTCTCAAACATTAGTTTGCATAAGGAACACCTGGGAGCTTGTTAAATCATAAATTTCTAAGACCTACTGCATAAAATATCATGGAGTGGGGTCCACACATCTGCATTTTTAACAAGCACCCTCAGTAATTCTGATGCAGGTGATCCACACACCTTATTTTGAGAAAACTGGCCTGGATAATGTGATAAAAACCTATAAAAAGTCATATGCATTTGTATTTATACAGCACCTTTCTTTAAAAGTGCTCCAGACAGGCTCCAGGCATTCATGAGAACTCCCCAAAGACCAAGATATCTAATGGAATCATGGCTTGACCTCTAATTTACATTTTCCCGATAAGGAAAATGACCCTGGGAGAGAGCTCTGCCCTGAAGGACAGATACGTCAGGGCCTTGAAATCAGAGAGCGTCTGTTGACTTCCCACTCAGGATTCTTTAGCCATTAGTACACTTTCCCCCAAATTGCTCCCAGGAAACAAGGAATCCCTTAACTTCTGCTCCTGTATCTCTTACTTGCAATCATTGAAAATTTCTCCATCGGCCCCAAATGCAATATCTAGGGGTGGGTCTAATGTTTGCATTGCAAAGGCAATGCAACATATCTCCTGGATGAAGTCATTGAGAAGGCAAAAGTCAACTTCAGGAGGGAATGAAATCTTGGGGTTGACATTCATGGCTCGGATCACATCCTGAAAAACAAAAAAGATGGTGTCACCTTGTTACCAACTTAACTCTGACATCCTAAGGGCGCTGTGACTGATGGGAGGTGGGAAAAGAGCATGTAAGTGAAAGTCAGTTAAACTGGAAAAGCTAAAACATGGACTAAAAGAAGAAAGACTGTATCACTCATTAATAGAGAAGGAGAAAAGATGACACCAAGTACAAATGCCATACTCAAGGCCAAGAGAGCTTCCCAAAAATCTAAGGAAAGAAACTTTAGTGACTTTTATTCATTGTTTCCATTATTTTTCTATCTGTATGATGTGCCAACACAGAAGACTTGTTCATAATCTATAATAATTATAATAGCTTGCTTTTATTGAGTGTTTACTGTGTGCCAAGCTTTATATTAAGCAAATTACCTGCCTTCTTTCATTTAATCGTCTCAGTAACTCTATGGGTTAATGACCATTGTTGCTCCCATTTAAAGATGAGGAAACTAAAGCTCAGAGAGGCTAAATAAATGTGCAAAGCCACACAGCTAGTCAGTGGCAGAGCCAGGAGGCAAATCCATACCTATCTTGCCCAAAGCTATTGCTCTGAAGCACTATGATATTATATCTCCCTACCTTAAGGGCCTATCTAAAGAGTAGAACTATAAAGCTCAGAACATTTATTTCCCATAAAATGTCCAAGAAATAAACAGCCAATAATGACTGGTGCTACAAAGCAAATTGGATACTGTGCACTTCTGCTCTTCCATTACATAGAAGCAATACGCAGCACTCGGTGGATTTCAGAGTTATTAGCGTACAATGTAAAGAGTATCATCAACGAACCAATCCCCATAGAAGCACTCCGACACTTACATTAACACTGCTTTGGGCATCGTATAGATCGAGATGACAAATGATATAATCTGAGACGACATCTTCAAAGTTATTCGACCCCATGTAAGATGGTGTCAACGTTTTCCTCACACGGATCTTGAAGTGTCTGAATGCCATTTTAGCTACATGGAATGCCTCCTGTCCATAAAAATAAAACAAATTTATTCGACGGGAGGAGAGGGATAAAGAGATCCAAAGCAAGGAATTAGAAAGCTGTACAAAAATTCAGCACCTTATCCATCTTCTGATAACTAAACACAGTTCATCGAAACTATTTCTAATCTGGGAGAAAATACACCTCTAAAATTTTGAAAAGTACATAAATATATATATGACTATTCACGTTCACGAATTCCAAGACAGTCGGTCCTTGTTCTGATATCTTGAGAGCAGGAAGCAGAATAGTGCAGAGGCTCAAGGAAATAAGCCATCTGTGGTTACACACATACTTGGAAAGTGCTAGCTGATGCTATGAAGCCATTAAAAAAAAACAAATCCACTGCCATCCGGTGGATTCCGACTCATAGCCACCCTATAGGCCAGAGTAGTACTGTCTCATAGGGTTTCCAAGGCTGTAAATCTTTACAGAAGCAGACTGCTACATCTTTCTCCTGAGGAGTGACCGACGGATTCCAACTGCCAGCCTTTCAGTTAGCAGCCGAGCCTTTAGCCGCTGCGCCACCAGGGCTCCTTACGAACCCATAACAATATTATATTACTGGTAAAGAAATAAGAGAAAACTATCCGTTTAGTGTTTATATTACACATAAACACACAGCAAGAGTCATGTTTCCTGGCATATATTAATTCAATAAATATTTATTGAATGCCTGTTACACAGTAGGGACTGGGAAAACTCAGATATGCAAACAAAGATACGGCCTCTACCCTTTCAGAGCTTTAACCCACTCAATAAGTGATTCTTAACAATCTAAATCAGAGGTTGGCAAACTTTTTCTGTAGAGTCCGACAGAAATAGGTTTTGCAGGCCATATACAGTTTCCGTCACATAATCTTTTTTTGTTTTACAACTCTTTAAAATGCAAGCGCATTCTTACATTCTTAGCTCTTACAGGTCAAAAAACAAAATAAAGTTCAGTAGATTCTGATTATTCTGCTTTCATACCAATTTTTTTTTTTTTAGTATTTAACTCTTCTTATAATGAACTCTTAGTATCTCAGTATGGTAGCCATAGAACAAACCTATTTGCCTTAGGAATTAAGGATTATATATGTGCATTTTTAAAATTTTCATACTCAGCAGCTGATTTGTTAGCAGTTTCAGTAACTGTTGTTGTTCTTAGTTGCTGTTGGGTCAGTTCCAACTGATGGCAACCCCCGTGTGCTGCAGAACAGAACTACTCAAGGCTGTGACCTTTGGGAGCAGATGGCCAGGCCTGTCTTCCAGGGTGGGTTTGAGCCGCCAGCCTTTGGCTAATAGTTGAGTGCTTAACCAGTAGAATTAACACAGTCACAACCTTCTGATTTTTCTAAGAACTTACGGAAACCAACCAGATGATTGCCATTAGCACTAACATACCCATAGTGTGTGTGCATATGCCCATATTAAGCAGAAGATACAGTGCAAATCAACCCATTTGATACAGTCCTGTGGTTAGGAATACTTCTTCAACAAATATCTGGTCAATATAAATACTAACATATACAAATAGTTATTGATTGTGAAAACGCTTCATCCCAAATATTTGTAATGAAAGGAAGGAAAGAAGAAAAGGAAGGAGGGAGGGACAGATGAGGAGACAGACAGAGGAGCACCCCCTTCTGTTTACTGAACTCCTGCCCCCAAGGACCTCCTCTGAAGCCCAACAAGCACGCGTGCACATACCACCGTGGCAATGTAGATGATCCGCTGCACCGTCTCAGCTTTGTCTATGCAGCGCCGAAGCAGGCACTGCGCATCCAGGCGGGCCTGGGAATATGCGTCGCTGAACCGGGACAGGAGGGCAGCCTTGCGCGCCACGCTGGACAGCTTGGCGCGATTCGGGGACGGAGTTCTAATTTTCGCAACTGCAGTGGAGGGGCTGGCAGACCGGCTGGCAGCCCGGCTAGCAGCCCGGCTTGCAGCCCGGCTGGCTGACCGGCTTCGAGGGGCAGGGCTAGGAGACCGGCTCCTTAGGGACCTGCTGGTAAGCGAGAATCAGTCACGTAAACACCTTTATTGACTTCCCCCTGTTGTTCCTGGACTCTGGTTCTTCTCCCCACATAAACTGCAAATGATACCCAGGAGCCATGGGCCCCTGCAGACAGGGTAAGCAGCTGCTTCCATGACCTTTGCAATAGGCCTCCAATATTACCACAGCCAAGAAACAATACTCTAAATTTGCATAATGAGTTAGACTTTATAGAGCACCTTCACTCACTCAGCACCTCAATTTATCCTTTAGACAACCATATGGGGCCATGATTGTTAGCCATTTTACAGATGAGCAACTGGAAGCTCAGCAAAGTTAACAAGACCAACCTTAGAGTAACACAGCTGCAAGAGCCAGAGTTAGAGAAGTCAGATTTTCAGGAATTTTTACCCCAACTTTGGCTTCATAAAAGAGCTAATACATCACACAGACACATCATACATGCTCTATGGTATAAAACAGAATGAACACCTATTGAACAATGAGAAAGATCTGTGTTCTTGTCCCAGCAACAACCATTTCATATCGGTTGGACCTTTGCAGTAATTTCTTCTCTCCAAAGCTTCAGTTGTCATCTACATAATTTTTGACCTGACTATCTCAGGAGTGGGAATAAAAAAAAACAAAACATCCATTGCCGTTGAGCTGATTCCAACTCATAGCAACCATATAGGACAGAGTAGAACTGCCCCCATAGGTTTCCAAGGCTGTAATCTTTACAGAAGCAGACTGCCACATCTTTCTCCCTCGGAGTGGCTGGTGGATTCGAACTAGCCACCTTCTGGTTAGTGGTCAGCGCTTAACCACTGTGCCACCAGGGCTCCTTGGAAGTGGGAATACATATGAAAGTACTTGGTAAATTGTAAAGCACTGTATCAGCGGAAAGTGTATTGTTACCAAGTACAAAGCAAATGATCAGACTTGCTAGCCCAAAAGAAATGGGTCACAAAAAAAGTTTTATAGAAGAAATGATGAGGCAAAAAGTAGATAACACTGAGTGCAGTGGTGTGCTGATAAGCAGACTCTCTGAAGGAGGGGGAAGAAAGCCCTGATTTGCATTGTTTGCCAATTTCCACAGTGTAAACACTCTCCTCCGTGGCCAATTTCAAGCTACCGATGTGATGTCACTGGAGGAGATGCACAGAATCGGCTCTTGGGAGTGCAAGCTGGCATCAACACAACACTGATGGAGTGATTCCCAAAAATGCAAGACTAAGGTGACACTTAGGGCAATGGGAAGGGGGGCACGGAGGAGGGTGACTTTGATAGACTGAATCAGAGCTTGTGGTGGGGGGGCGGTTAGAACAGGGGAAATGGAGACTCTAAACAGAAACATCCTACTTTGTCCTACTACACTCTCTTAATGACCTGTCTTCATGTTCTATACATCGGCAGAAAGGGATTTCACAAGTACACTTACCTGCACACTCCATCAAACCAAGTCAGATATAAAAACAAATGCCTTACAGTAACATGGACCAGTAATATGGTTACTCTGGAGACAGAACCTTTAGGTCTCAGAGAAAAGGAGTCTACTATTATAGGACATTCTTTCAAGATGGGTACTGCCACTTGCATTCTGCACCCACCCAAATCTGTTTTTAAGCCAAAGAGTTTTCCTTTATCATTTCTCTCAGATTCATTCTTTTCATTTCAATGTCAGCCCAAAATTGCTAAGTGCCCAAGTATTGACAATCCAGGAGGTATTTTCTCTCTTTGGAATGATGCAGTCAGAGAAAACAATCCCTTTACAATTCAAACCTTCCCATAATGTTTGGGTTCTGGTTCAGGGTGCCATTTTACCTTTTTTCCCCAAGCCAGGCTTTTACCACTAACTTAACCAATTAAGCATCAAAAGCTTAAATAAAAAGATTTGAGAGAGTCTGTCAGACCTTCCTTGGAGCACATTCTTTTCAGCAGACAGAACAGCTATCTCGTCCTTGAGCGTTTGAAGCTGTTTCTCATAGTCAGATATTACTTCTGGGTTCCGCCGGTCCGTGCTTCGTCTGTCTAAACTCTTTAGGTCTATGGACCGTGGGTCTGAGCCTCGGGGTTCTGTGCCCCGTGGCTCCGAGCCCCGTGGCTCTGAGGCCCGTGGCTCCGAGCCCCGTGGCTCTGAGGCCCGTGGCTCCGAGCCCCGTGGCTCTGAGGCCCGTGGCTCTGAGCCCCGTGGCTCTGTTCCCCTCAGATCTACACTCCGCAGGTCCACACTCCGCAGGTCCACGCTCCGCAAGTCCACGCTCCTATGGTCTGTGCTCCTACCCCGCTCTCCGCCCCGGTAGTCTGAGTAGTAGTCTGAGTTCCTGTGGCGGGATTCCTCTTGGGATTGAAGAGACTTAAGACTGAACAGCAAAAGAGAGAGGGAGGGAGAGAGAGAAGGAGGAAGGAAAAGGAAGAAAGGACAGAAGGAAGGAGGGAGGGAGGGAGAAAAAGGAAGGAATGAAGGGAGGAAGGGAGGGAGGAAAGAAAAAAGGAAATAAATAAATAAGCAACAAATGGTATGTTTAACAACAGAGAACACTCTACTATGCCATTATTGAACTGGAAAACTCTGATGGGGATATATATGAACAAATGAAAATTAGCAAAACAAAACTGACAGACTGCCATGAGACCAGAAGAACTGGATGGTGCCCAGCTACCATTACTGCATGTTTTGATCAAAGAGTCTATGGATGAATATTGATCAAAAGGGGGGAGATGCAGAACAGAATTTCAAATTCTCATGGAATCTAGACTTTCTGGAGCCACTGAGGATGGATAAACTCCCAAAAAATTGCCCTGAGATAATCTTTCAATCTTAAACCAAAACGATACCCTGAGGTCTTCCTTGAACCAATCAATAGTTCAGCTTAATTAGTAAAGTATGTCTGCCTTGAGTTTTGAGATCTTTTAAAGAATTATCTATGTGGAATCAAATTGAAAGGTTAGATGAGAAGCTTAGGGGGCAGTGAGTTTATGTTAATGGTGGTGGAATAATTTAGAAAAGAATAGCCAGAATGGTTGCACCACTTGAAGAATGTAATCAGTGTCATTGATGGAAACTGAATAACATCCACAAGACTAGATGAAGTGTGGACCTCTGGAAATAATGCAGTACAAACACAAGCAAAAAATAACTTTAGAAAAAAGCTGGCATCTTCATTTATGATTTTTTAAAAGAAAAGGCATGGCCACCATAAAACAGGAGCAAAAAGTCTTAAGAGGAGAACGTGCTGCAATGAAAATAACAATGGTGTAACATGAAAAGGTCAGAGGTAAAATTAAGAAGAATGTAGAGAAGCTAAAAATGCAATAGCAGAATTAAAAGTGGCACTAGAAACAGTAAAGAACAGGATCGGTGCTATAGGAAATCAATGAGTAATACGAACAATGAATTTGAAAAGATACAGCAAATAGTAAATAAGAGATTAAAATGATGAGAGGGAAGACAGAAGTGGAACACAGAACAGACCTTCAAGCTAAGACTTACGGTTGTTCCTAAAGAAATCAGAACAATGGGAACATGTACAAAGGCAACAGAAAGACGTTCTCAGGTAATTTTTTTTCAAAAAATACACCTCTACCTGTTCTTTTTTTTTGGAGAAACAATCAAAATTAAGAACAAATAAATTATAACCTGATTCTTTCTCCTTCTAGAAATTTATCTTTAGGGCATAATCTGACATTTGAACTAAGATTTGCCACAAAAATAATTATCACAGTGTTATTTTTATGTTGAAAATTCGTATCAAACTAAACATTCAATATTAGGGAAATCCTCCAAATGATGGCATATTACGCACCTATTTAAAACTAAGCTCTGCAGTATTCTTCCTCAGTTATACAAGGAAACAACGTTAAGTGAAAAAGTAGGGTCCAAAATTGCATCCTTATCTACTTTATTCTGTAGTTTTAACTTTATTTATTTTTATTGTGCTTTAGGTGAAAATTTACAGAGAAAATTAGTTTCCCGCTCAATAATTTTTACACAAAGTGCTCTGTGACATTGGTTGCAATCCCCGCAATGTATCAGCACGCTCTTCATTTCCACCCTGAGTTCCCCGTTTCCATTTGTCTGGTTTTCCTGCCCCTTTCTGCCTTCTCATTTTTGCTTTTGGGCAAATGTTGCCCTTTTGGTCTCGAACAGTTGATTGTTCTAAGGACCACTTTCCTCACGGGTATTATTGTTTATAGGCCTATTATTTGGCTGAAAGGTAATCTGTTTTAACTTTATTTTTAATATACGTATTGGAAGACATAGCAAAATGGTAAGTGGTTCTGGAATTTTGAGATGGTTTTTTGATTCCTTTATACTATGTGGTACTTTGAAAATTTTCTATAACCTAGGTAATGTTTTTACAGTAAGAAAATAAACATTAAAAACATTAATAAAAATATCGCTGCCTTTCCTTTTTGCATGTGAACAGAATCTTTCATATTGTAATGGAGCACCAAAAAAGTTAAATTCAAAGACTAATCAGCAGGCTGCAATTATTTTGTCATTTTTTTCCTTACTGCTTTCTTAGTTGATTTATTTCCTCCTCTGCAGCCAAAAGGGATATGGCCGATCTGTTCTTGGTTTCTTCAAGAGTCTTTTCAGTTTCAGTCAGACTGTAAGAGAAATCAGTAACTAAAGACAGATTTTTTTTAATTGGCAGGCTTTCTAAATTAAGGCACAGGTTCTCTAGGGCACTTTTGGCATATGATATATTAGTATATGATATAAAAGCAACATTTGCCTCCCCTTCTCCTGAGATCCTCCAGTACTTGGTTCACATTTATCGTCTCCTTAGAAACACACTGTGAGCCACTTGAGGGCAAGCATTCAGCATAAACAAGATCGAATCATAAGACATCTGCATTCAGTCAGATGATACTGCAAACATTATAGAAGACTTCAATGCAAAATCATGCTAGCATCTTTTGCTCAATCTCAAACTCTCACAAGAAATTACAGAATTACTATCCCTAATATACTATGTAAAAATTATTAATATTAGAAAGTAAAGAACAATGAAGCTTGCTTGTCTTTCTTTTCACCCTCTAAATTCATCTGCTCTGAAGACACCAAATCCGAGGTTGTTTCTCTCTATTAAATCTACATTTTTCCGCAATATATCAATATCTATTCTCATTACTTTGCACTGTGCGGCTGCATTTAATTTTCCAAGTCTTCCAAAACATAAAAAGTTATTTTCCCACCTATAAAGTTCTCCACAATTACACTCGACTACCAAGTTATTTCGTGTCTTATTGTCTCTGACTTCCACCACCTACTGAGCACAAATTTCCTGAATTTTCAACAAAAGCTCAGTCATTGTCAGTTTCAAGGGCTCTCTTCACTGTAGGCAGTTCAGAATAAATTATGCTCTTTCTTTAGGTCTATCTAAATTTTAAAAGAAATGGGAGTGGGACGGATGAAACTGGATGAAGACCAGTGGTTTGGAATTAAGTTGCCCTAGTACCATGAGAGATCATGGATTGGCAAAGGTGTCATGACTTCTCAGACTCTGCCTCCCTGAAACATCCAGACACTTTCATCACAGTAGTCCTGAGGCCAAGAGTGCGATTGCTGTCAAGACTCATATCAGTCTTCCTCCTTCCCTTTAGATGGAAGAACTGAGGGTGAAACACTGGGATCCTTACCTAGAGAGTGAAGCAGACTAAGAAATAATGAGATAAACCTAGCTGTAAACTCGATTCTAACTCATAGCCACCCTATACGACAGGGTATAACTGCCCCATATGGTTTCCAAGGCTGAAAATCTTTTATGGGAGCAGACTGCCACATCTTTTTCCCATGGTGTGGCTGGTGGGTTCAAACTGCCCACCTTTTGGTTAGCAGCCAAGCGCTTTAACCACTGCACCACCAGGGCTCCAAGAAATAATGAGATAACAGGACTTCTATCAAATCCCAAAAATGCCAACTAATCAGATACTTACAGGAGGTGGTGTAAGTTACCCAAAGTTCCATGCCACTCCCTTCTCCTCCTCTAACTCACTCACTCACCCAAGTGCCACTCCAAATGTCACCCTGACTCTCTCAAGCAACATTTGCCTCCCCTTCTCCTGAGCTCCTCCAGCATTTGTTTCACATTTATAATCTCATTAGAAGTAAACTGTGAACCACTTGAGAGTAAAGATTTTGTCTATTCCTCTCTGTCCCCAGCACCTAAAGTAATGCCCGTCACATGGTAGACATTAAAAAAAAAAACTGAATAATGAATGAAATGTCTTAAGTCTAAAAGAAAGCAAAAGTTGTAATAACTTCTCATTGGGGTTACTGGAGGCTGAAAGGAAATTACTGTGACTATGTTAACCATTTTAAAAAAGTATATATGGGAAAAACGAGCACTGTTATCAAGAGAAAACTGTAGAAGACTAAAAGAAAAAAATGGACCCAGAAAGGAAGGGGAGTATGAAAAGGAATAAAGAAGGAGCTTTTTTAATCCCAACACAGCATACATGTTGAGACATATACATAAAAGAAATCACATGCTAATTTGGCAAGCCTGGATGACATACAGAGAGAAGAAAGGGAGGTACATTCATGTACCAAGCACTGTTTTAAGCAGGTTAGCATATTTTATTAAAATGTTTTGTTAAGGCTTTATTCATTCATTTGGCAAATTATTGAGCACTTACTATGTACCAGGCTGTGTGCTGGAGATACAACAGTGTCAAAATAGCAATACAAGAGAGTAACCCTTTGGAGTTTCCAGTCTAGTGGAGAAGATAGATCATCAATATGTAAACAAGTCAAATGCTAAAAATTTTGTAAGTGCTATCACGAGACTAAACACATTGTGGTGAAAAAGGATTAAGGGAAGAGAAGATGGAAGATCTTTCAACATATGGCAGTCAAAGAAGGACTCTGAGAAGGTGACATTTAAGCTGAAGTCTGAAAAATAATAAAGATCCAAGCAAGCAAAGAACCAGTGGAAGGCTGTTCCACAAAAATGGAAGAGCAGAGGCAAAGGCCGCAAGATGAGAAGTGGACAGTAAAACTGAAAGAAGCCCACCATGGCTGGAGGAGGCTGGGTGAGGGGAGACTAGCATGAAATGAGGGTGGAGAGAGAGGTAGTGCCAGACCACTCAGAGTCTTGAGAGTCTTGGTGATTCATCTGGAATTTTTCTCTCAGAATAAAGAGAGGCTAGTAATCCCTTTTAAGCAGGGAGGTGACTTGATACAATAAAAACAAAAATAAAAATTGCTGCTATGTGGGCAATGGATTGTAGCAGCGCGAGAATAGATGCAAGGAAGCCAGTTGGAAGGCAACTGGTCCAGGCAAGAGACATCAGAGGCTTGAACTAGGGCAGCAGTAGTGGAATAGAAAGAAAGGAACAAGTGTGAGATGCGTAGGAGGTAGATTTAACAGGACACACTAACAGACTGGATATACAAGATGAGGGAAAGAGATTCATGACCAGAATCCAGGCATAAAATCTAATGGTTCTTCCTTTGTGTAGGTTTCCCTCAAACCTGGGTAGACCTGTCCCTGTTCAGCCCTTTATTATTGGAATTTGCAACTTTGGAACTGAGTCAGAACCAAACCAGTCTCACGAGGTTAGAAATGGGGAACCTTCTAGGGTGGGCCATTCATTCCATGGTATGTAGCACCCTTGCTCTAGAGGCACGTAGGCAGACTAAGTGAGGGAGGAAGAGAGCTGGCTACCATGTTGTTGTTGTTGTTAGGCGCCGTCAAGTCGGTTCCAACTCATAGCAACCCTATGTACGACAGAACAAAACATTGCCCGGTCCTGCACCATCCTCACAATCGTTGCTATGTTTGAGCCCATTGTTGGAGCCACTGTGTCAATCCATCTCATTGACAGTCTTCCTCTTTTTTGATGACCCTCTACTTTGCCAAACCATAGAATACAGGAAATAGACTCTATTATTTTTTAACGCCTTAAATAAAAAAAAAAAAAATATGATACACACGTGGGTTAAAAAAAATTAGGAAATCCAGTGGAAAGCAGAAAGCAGCTTCATGTATACAATTTTCAAATAGTTCTGGGGGTGAGGGGGAAGCATGTACACAGACAGAGAAAAAGAGAAGGCACAAAGAGGGCAAAAGGTATGTGAAAGGGTATATGGGTGTTCTTGGTACTATCCTTGCAAATTTTCTTTAAGTTTGATATTATTTCCAAATACAAATTAAGATAAAAAAGTATGTACCCATAAAGTTTCTCAGTCCATGGTGCCTCTCACGAGTAACAACAGAACCACAGTACCAAGAAAACCAAAAAACAAAGCAAAAACCAAACCAGTTCCGACTCATGGCAATCCTATGTTATGGAATAGAACTGAGATCCACAGGGTTTTCTTGGATGTAATCTTTTTTACGGAAGCAGATCACCAGACCTTTCTTCTGTGGCACTGCGGGATAGGTCCAAACTGCCAACTTTTAGGTTAGTAGTTGAGCGCAAAACATTTATGCCACCCAGAGACCTTTAGTAGCAAGAAAGGGAAGTGGGAAATCCTGGCACTCACTGGTGCTGAGCCAGCAAAAGCCTGGAGTCTTGAAGCACTGACTCACCACTAGAGGAAATGGAGGGGCCTGGTCATCAGCAGATTGCCTGCTAATGCCCCAGGAGACCTAACCAGATCAGCCACAACTCAGCATCCATCAGCAAAAGACACTAGCGCCCAGGTGGAATCAAGGCCAGCCAGAACCCAGAGGGCAGTACAAGACTAAAAGCTTCTGCCCTCTAGCACCAGGAAAGCAGGCAAGCGTCCCTCTGCCCCTAGAGGCCAGTCTAAGAAAGGAGAAGGGAAAAGAAGATCCTTTGAGAGAGCAGAGCCAGCCCTTAAAAGGCAGTCTGAACTTGGAATTAACTGAAATACTAGCACAAAAGGGACTACAATAAACCAGAAAATTCTGAGTTACCTTGAAATGGCAAATTTAAGATCCCCTTCACTCCATAATTGGCTGATGTTAATTGAAATAAGTTGTTGAAATTTAGGGAAATTATGCTTTTTTGCACATTTGTAAATTTTGATTGCTACTGATATAAAACTGTTCACTGACTATGATTTCAATTGCAAAAATGAATAGGTGTGTGTGGAGGGGTGTGTGTGTGTGTGTGTGCATACAAACATGTACAAAGTGTGGAGTAAAATATATCAAAATGTTAACAGGAATGGAATACGAGGTAATTTTTCACTTTCATGTTTATATTCTGAGGGAGATTTGAATTACTGAATTATTTTTATAATCAGACAAAATTAAATCAGTAGAAGTATTTTCCTTGTGGGGAGAAAGAAGGAAATCTCACCGGAGAACAAGGCAGGGTCATAGCTTATGCCATCACAAGCCTTAACTACTTAAAAATAGAATTCCTTGCTATCCCAAACATGTCAGCCATGGAGCAAAGCTGTAGTAGGAGAAACATCTTACTGATAGGTATTTGTTCGTTATGCTGAATGCAGTTTCATACAGATCTATCTATCTTCCTCAAGTAGAAACCCAAAGTCTGCAATTTTCTTTGCAGTGATTCCTGAGCTTGCTACTCTGGCTCTGCACATAGCATATATCTGATAAATGTTTCTGCCCAGCATTGCTTAACTTTTTTACAGTATATTTTTATATTTACTAGTTATTCCAAAATCTTGAGTTGTTCATTCTTTAAAGACTCTGACTTAGTCAGGCATATACACCTCCACCCACCCGAATGAGTACAACTGGCAGATGAATGCAGCCTGCTTCATTTTACTATTGCTCTTCCTTGTAATTTTCTACCTTACCTGATCTTGCACCCTTCTCTTTCTGCATCTTTTCTTATTTTCCTCCCGAAAGATAGATCTCATCTAACAATATTTCCTTTTTTTTAAAATGTGGGCTGATAATGGGCCTACGGAGAAGACAATGCTCCAGGACTAGAGCTGAGGGGACTAGTCTTAGAGACCATAATACAGATATCCTGTCCCCAAACTGAGAGACATAGACTCCCAACTCCACCCCACACCCATAGACGCAAAATCATGTTACTTATTTGCAAATGTCCACATTTTATATGAGCCGTTATCCCTTTTCAAATTCAATTAAATTTAGAGCAAATAATTCTTTCTGGAAAAAGACAACTTGCATTCCTCTTACTCGTCTTGAACCTGTTTGGGTTGATTACGAGTTGAGCCCAATTCAGAATCTAACTGTAGGTCCTGATCCCGAAAAAGAGAATTCCTCTCCTTATCAAACGTGTCCTGGAATTAAAAAAAAAAAAAAGTCGGAATATGTGAAAACAACATGGATGAATTGCAAAAACATTACGCTGAACAAAAGAAGCCAGGCACAAAAGAGCACATAGTGGCTGGCTCCATTTACATGATGTCCTAGTCCTGGCAAATTAGTCTACAGTGATGAAAATCTGAAGACTGACTGCCCGGGGGGCGGGGGGTGACTGGAGAGTGGCAAAGGGGAATGATCTGGAGTGATGGAAACGTTTTCTACCTTGATAAGGGTGTAAGTCACACAGGCATATGCATTTATCAAAGCTCATCAACCTGTGGATTTCACTGTGTGCAAATTGTTATCTCAATTACACACATACATAAAGACTTTGAGACATCATCTTACATCTCTTTACCCACAATAACACCTACAGGGGGAAAAATCTGAGAAGCATATGAAAATCCTCAGGAAAAAATATTGCTTAATTATGATTGACGTCCATTGAGTACTTACCTAATATGCTAGGCCCGGTGCAAGTTGTTTCGAGTGCTTATCATGTCTAATTCTCACAAGGACCCTATTAGGTCAGTAAAATCACTGTCCTCATTCAGTATATGAGGGAACTGAGACATAAAAGGTTAGATAATTTACCCAGGGTCATACAAGAGAGACTGGATTTCTTCCCAGTGATCTCCAAACAGGAAGCCTTCAACCACTATCTCAGAAGGCCCTCTTGCTTAGAACACCCTTTTCTAAATGCTTCAATTTTAGAAAGAAATTTATGTATCCATATAAATGTTTAAAAGTACGATTACTAGTATTTCTGCCTTGAGTAGTGTGCTCCTTTAAAGAATTACCTACGTGAGATAAAATTGACAACAGCAACTTGAAAGGTTAGATGAGAAGCTTGGGGGAAGTGAGTTTAAGTCAACGGCAGTGGAACAACTTGGAGAAGGACAGTGAGAATGGTTGCACAACTTTAGGAGTGTAATCAATGTCACTGTGTTGAACGTGTAGAAATTGTTGAAATAGTGTACGTTATTGTTACGTGCTGTCGAGTCAGATCCGACTCATAGCAACCCTATGTACATCATAACAAAACACTGCCTGGTCATGTGCCATCCTCACAATTTTTACTATGTTTGAGGCCATTGTTGAAGCCACTGTGTCAATCCATCTCGTTGAGGATCTTCCTCTTTTTTACTGACCCTCTACTTTACCAAGCATGATGTCCTTCTCCAGGGACTGGTCCCTCCTGATAACATATCCAAAGTATGTGAGTCGAAGTTTCGTCATCCTCCCCACACAATAAGAGCATCCTGGCTGTACTTCTTCCAAGACAGATTTGTTTGTCCTTCTGGCAATCCATGGTATATTCAATATTCTTTGCCAACCCCGTAATTCAAAGGCATCACTTCTTCTTCAGTCTTCCTTATTCATTGTCCAGCTTTCAAGTGTATATGAGGCGATTAAAAATACCATGGCTTGGGTCAGGTACACCTTAGACCTCAAAGTGACATCTTTGCTTTTCAACACTTTAAAGAGGTCTTTTGCAGCAGATTTGCCCAATGCAATTCGTCTTTTGATTTCTTGACTGCTGCTTCCATGGGTGTTCATTGTGGATCCAAGTAAAATGAAATCCTTGACAACTTCAATAATATTTTCTCCGTTTATCATGATGTGCTTTATTGGTTCAGTTATGAGGATTTTTGTTTTCTTTATGTTGAGGTATAATCCATACTGAAGGCTGTCGTCTCTGATCTTCATCAGTAAGTGCTTCGAGTCCTCTTCACTTTCAGCAAGCAAGGTTGTATCATCTGTATAACGCAGGTTGTTAATGAGTCTTCCTCCAATCCTGATGCCCTGTTTTTCTTCACATAGTCCAGCTTCTCGGATTATTTGCTCAACATACAGATTGAATAAATATGGTGAAAGGATACAACCCTGACACACACCTTTCCTGATTTCAAACCACAAAGTATCCCCTTGCTCTGTTCGATTGTGTCTTGGTCTATGTACAGGTTCCATGTGGGCAAAATTAAGTGTTATGGAATTCTCATTCTTCAAAATGTTATCTATAGTTTGTTATGATCCACACAGTCGAACGCCTTTACACAGTCAATAAAACAGAGGTAGACATCTTTCTAGTATTCTCTGCTTTCAGCCAAGATCCATCTGACATCAACGATGATATCTCTCATTCCACATCCTCTTCTGAATCCAGCTTGAATTTCTGGCAGTTCCCTGTCTATATACCCCTACAACCATTTTTGAATTATACTCAGCAAAATTTTACTTGCATATGATATGAATGATATTGTTTGACAATTTCCACATTCTGTTGGGCTACCTTTCTTTGGAACAGGAACAAATATGGATCTCTTGCAGTCAGTTAGCCAGGTAGCTGTCTTCCAAATTTCTTGGCACAGACAAGTGGGTTCTTCTATCATTGCATTCATTTGTTAACACATGTCAGTTGGTATTTGGTCAATTCCTGGAGCCTTGTTTTTCACCAATGCCTTCAGTGCAGCTTGGACTTCTTCCTTCAATACCATAGGTTTTTGTTCATATGCTACCTCCTGAAATGGCTGAACATCAACCAATTCTTTTTGGTACAGTGATTCTGTGTATTCCTTCCATCTTCTTTTGATGCTTCCTGCATTGTTCAATATACTGCCCATAGAATCCTTCAATATTGCAACTTGAGGTTTGAATTTTTTCTTCAGTTATTTTAGCTTGAGGAATGCTGAGCATGTTTCTCCCTTTTAGTTTTCTAACACTTTACTTTGCGTTCTCGAGCCACCCTTTAAAATCAGCTCTTTTACTTCATCATTTTTTCCTTTCACTTTAGCTAGTTGACATTCAAGAGCAAGTTTCAGAGTCTCTTCTGACATCTATTTTGGTCTTTTATTTCTTTCCTGTCTTTTTAATGACCTCTTGCTTTCTTCACTTATGATGTCCTTGATGTCATTCTATAGCTCATCTGGTCTTCAGTCATTAGTGTTCAATGCATCAAATCTATTCTTGAGATGGTCTCTAAATTCAGGTGAGATATACTCAAGGTCATACTTTGGCTCTCGTGGACTTGTTTAAATTTTCTTCAGCTTCAACTTGAACTTGAATATCAGCAATTGATGGTCTGTTCTGCAGTCAGCCCTTGGCCTTGTTCTGACTGATGATTTTGAGCTTCTCCATTGTCTCTTTCCACAGATGTAGTGGATTTGATTCCTGTGTTTTCTATTTGGTGAGGTCCATGTGTATAGTCGCTGTTTATTATACTGTAGAAAGGTATTCACAAAGAACAAGTTGCTGATCTTGCAAAATTGTATCATTCAGTCTCTGGCATTGTCTCTAACACCAAGATCATATTTTCCAACTACTGATTCTGCTTCTTTGTTTCCAACTTTTGCATTCCAATCACCAGTAATTATCAATGTATCTTGATTGCATGTTTGATCAATTTCTGACTGCAGAAGTTGGTAAAAAGTCTTCAATTTCTTCATCTTTGGCATTAGTGCTTGGCACGTAAATTTGCATAATACACACTAATGCATAAATTTGGGTAATAGTCCTATTAACTGTTCTTCTTTGTAGGCATATGGATATTATCATCTACTGAGGCCCTTGTTACTGTTGTTGTTGTTAGTGGCCATCAAGGCAGCTCTACTCTTGGAGACCTTATGTATAATAGAACAAAACGTTGCCCAGTCCTATGGCATCCTCATGTTTGATATGTTTGAGCCCACTGTTGTGTCTATTGTGCCAATCCATCTCATAGAGTTTTTCCCTCATTTTCACTGACCCTCTAATTTATCAAACATGATATCCTTTTCTAACTATTGGTGTTTCTTGATGATGTGTCTAAAGTAGGCAAGAAGGAGCATTCTGATTGTATTTCTTCTAAGACTGATTTGTTCACTATTCATGGTATATTCAATATTCTTCGCCAATACTACAATTCAAATACATGACGTCTTTTTTTTCATTGTCCAGCTCTCACAAGCATATGAGGTGATTGAAAAGGCCATGGCTTAGGTCGGGTGCATCTTAGTCAACAAAGTGACATCTTTGCTTTTCAAGAACTTTAAATAGGTCTTTTACAGCAGATTCCCCCAATGCAATGTGTCACTTTATTTCTTGACTGCAGCTTCCATGCGCACTGATTGTGGATCCAAGTAGGATGAAATCCTTGATAACTTCAATTTTTTTCTCCATTTATCATGATGTTTTTTATCAGTCCAATTGTGAGAATTTTCACTTTCTTCAAGTTCTGGTATAATCCATACTGAAGCCTGTGGTCTTTTACCTTCATCAGTAAGCTCTTCAAGTCATCTTCATTTTTGGCAAGCAAGGTTGTGTCATCTGCATGTCACAGGTTGTTAACGAGTTTTCTTCCAATCCTGATGCTGGGTTCTTCTTCATATAGCCCAGTTTGACGGCTTATTTGTTCAGCATACAAATTGAATAAGTAAGGTGAAAGGATACAACTCTGCCGCATGCCTTTTCTGAAGCTCTAATTGTCTAGATGACTAATTTGTCACTTAAAAGTTACTATTTAGTGTCTAGTACAGGCCAAGCAGTGCCCCAGATGTATGTAGATCACTATCATGTCCATTTTACAGCTGAGGAAGTACAGGCTCACTGATTTGCCTGAAGTCACACCGTTAATAAGTAGGCAAAGCTGAGATTTGAATGCAGCTCTGTCTTAAGAGCAAACTCAACCCATTATGCTACTTTATACAGAAACTCACCTTTTATATATGTGCCCCAACTCCCTAACTAGAATTGAGTCCCTCACTAGTTAGAAACCATATCTTACACATGCTTGAGTTCCTAGATCTGGTTCAGGATGCTGAAAGCCAAGGGTTATCCTTTAACATCATACCTGTAAAGAGGGAACTGTGCTGTCAACAGGCTTTCCCATGGAAGCAGCAGTAAAGGAAGCCTCCAGCCAAGGCAAAAGGCGTGATTTGATTATTTCCACACCAGCATAATGTCCTCCTAAAAGAATACATAAATCAGGTCAACAAGAGAAATCCAACTGCACCAACTGAGCCACTGAGCACAGAGGCTAAAAAAAAAAAAAAAGGAGAGAGCTGGATGGGAAAGCACAGGCCATTCTCACCCTCTTGGGCTGCTGTAGAGAGGATCCCAAAGAGTTGTCCCTGCAGCTTGGCAACTTGCTCAATGAGTTCGAGGCAAATATTTAGATTTTGGTCACATGAGTTTGTCTGCAAAGCCAAAACAGTAGGCATTAAGGCAATTCCTTCACTCTCTGACCCAAAGCAGATAGACAAGCGCCTTACAAGGACTGACTGGCTCCAGTATGCCCCAGTGGCACAGTCTGCTATGTGTTCACCGAAACCTAGGCCCTTTTCTCCTCAGCACAGCACTAGACTACTTTCCCTGCTTCCCTAGCAGTTCATGTGGCCATGTAACTGAGTTCCTGTCAATGGGTTGGGAAGTGACGAGTGCCACTTTCAGGCCTCACCTAGAAGAAAGCTTCTTGACAGAGTCTCCTCTTTCGCTTTCCCCATCTGCCTGCTGAATGCAGAGGGTCTAGCAGAGGACCCCAAGGACATAAGGGATAATGGGGCCAAAAGATTTGGAAGGCTGCTCACTGAACACTTGCACTGAACTGTTGATGGAGAAATAAAGTGTGAGTGTGTGTGTGTGCGTGTGTGTGTGTGTGTGTGTGTGTGTGTGTGTGTCTGTGTGTGTGTGTGTGTGTGTCTGAAGCCACTGAGATTTGGGGGTTGTTTGTTATAGCAACAACCCTGACTCCCTATTCAGTAGAACTCTGCAAAAAATTCTTTTTAAAAGTGAATAGACTTTTTGTAATACTATACCAAACCAAACAAACAAACCAGTTGCCATCAAGTCGATTCCAACTCATAGCAACCGCATGTGTTGCAGAATAGAACTGCACCCTATAGGGTTTTGAATGGCTGTGACCTTCCAGAAGCATATCACCAGGCCTGTCTTCCGAGGAGCCTCTGCGTGGGTTCAAACCACCAACATTTTGTCTAGTAGTTGAGCATTAACCAATTGTGCCACCCAGGGACTCTGTAATATGATACACTGCATACTAATTTATCTGTTTTATTAGTTCTCATCCTTTATATAAGTTCAATGTTTACATTACATGTGCGTAAAGAATACTACTTGTTAACAGTAGTAAAGCATTGCTGTGTTGAGAATACAATGAAGAATAAGACAAAAAAAGACAGGGCCTGGGAATTTATGGAATGTGCAGACTTGTGCAGAAGACAGGCAAGTAAACAGTTAACCTGCAGTGAAATAACAAGCCCAGTGGCATAGCGGTTAAGAGCTTGGCTGCTAATCAAAAGGTCGGCAGTTCAAATCCACCAGCCGCTCCTTGGAAACCCTATGGGGCAGTTCTACTCTGTCCTATAGGGCCGCTATGAGTTGGAACCAACTCAACAGCACCTAACAACAACAACAATGCTATACAGGTGACTACAAGGTCTACTCAAGAGCCTTTAGTCTTGCAAAGTTAGGGAAAGCTTCCAAAAGGAAGTAAAATCTAAACTGAGAAGAAATTAGGCAGACTTGGGGAAAGGGGTAGTTCAAGTGGTTATGGAACATGCTAAGCAATGAAAACAGAATGTGTGGAAGCTAAGAGGCAGGCCATTTAGCCATTATTCTGCTTTTGTCATCTCCTTGGTAAGCGTTTACCATTTCATCATTAACCAAACCTCTAACTGATTCCAACACTAAAAGAAGGAGTCCAACTATAAGCAACGAACAAATCATGTATGTATAAAAATGAACCGATTTAGGTGTCACCTTGAGCCATAATAAGGCACTTGAGATCCTGGGACAGGAAGCTGGGTACAAGGAGGAGAGAAAGTAAAATGAAGAGAAAAAGCTTAGGAGACCTCCAGGTGGAAGTTTACAAGTAAAATGTATATCTATGTCAAGAGGGGAAATGTTTCAGATAGGCAGTACACTCTTTGAGGACAGGACTGCCCTATTCATTGCTCGTATATACAAAAAAAAACCTCAGTAGGTATTGGATGGATAAACGAAAATGAGATGATTCACTCAGTTTGTATTTATTACATACCTCCTATGCTCCAAGTATTGTTAGTGCTTTACATATATAAACTCATTTAATCCATATATATATGTAATACACTATGAAATAGGAGTACCAGTATTATCGTTTCCATTTTCAGATGAGAAAACTGAGGCACACAAAGGTTAAGTAACTTGTCCAAGGTTACCCAGCTAGTAAAATGTCAGAGCTGAGATTTGAACTCATGGCCTGGTTCCAGGGCCCACGCTATTAACTACTAAACTATATTGATTTCTAGATTGTGATTAGTGCAGGAAGCAGAGGGAGAGCTGGATGATGTGACAGTGAATGATGAGGGCAGTCAGGGAAGGCTTCTCTGAGGAGGTGATATTGGTGCTAAGCCCTAGATGATAAGATTCAATGATGCAAAGTACTAGGGAAAGAGCTGGCTTTTGGGGAACAGTAAGCGCAAAGGCCCTGAGACAGGAACAAGTTTGGCATCCTTGAGAACCAAAAGCAGGTCAATGTGGTAGAAGCACAAAAGGTCAGAGAGGTTGGCAGGACAGGCCCAGGAGGGCCTTGCAGGCCTGGTAAAGAGTCTGGATGGGATGTCCTCATAGTCATTGAGAGGACAGCGGTTTACTCTCCATGCTTGGTAAGTAGTATCTGCTCTGTTGTAGCCATTTGTTTCTATGCCCCACGCTTCTATCCCCTCCTCCCAAGAAAGACCAAACAACTGCCTTTCTCATGTTTGTATCTATTATCACCAGTGTCCATAGCAAACTAAAGGGCCCAAACAATGTTTGATGAATGAATGAGTAGTTTAATAGAATAATGTTTATATGATCCAAACATCTGGAAACCCAGAGCCTTAGCAGCCATCTGCACTTCTTCCTCATTGAACCTGTGGCCCTTTGCCCCTGCGATTTTACTCCTGCACTTATCACCAAAACAAAAACAGTTGCTGTCAAGTGGATTCCAACTCATGGCCACCCCATGTGACAGAGTAGAACTGTGTTCCATAGAGTTTTCAATGGCTGGTTTTTCAGAAGTAGATCTCCAGGCCTTTCTTCAGAGGCACCTCAGGGTGGACTTGAACCTCCAGTCCTTCGGTTAGCAGCCAAGTGTGTTAATCATTTGGACCACCCAGGGGCACTTATCATATTGAACTTCGATTCCTTGCTTATAAGACTTTTGCCCTCTGGCTAGATCATGCCATGTGCTAAGTGGATAGAGGAAGGGCTTCGGAGTCAAGCAGACCTGAGTTATCTTTTTTTTAATATTTTATTGTGTTTTAGGTGAAAGAGTGAGTTATCTTTGCTCTGCCAATTGCCACAGTTCTGTGTGATCCCGTACAAGTTACTTAACCTGTCTGAGCCCATTTCCTCTCCAGCCAAATAAGGATAATAATGCCTTGTAAGGTATTAGAAGAATTAAGTCAAAATAATGTTATGTGTATCACCTCAGAGACAAAAAACATTCAACAATTGATACTTATGAGGTGGTATGCAGTATTGAAAGAAGCATAGGGCTTAGGAATTAGATAGCCCTTCGTTCAAATCCGATTCTGCCGTGTATTAGCAGCATTCCCTTTGAAAAGAGCATTTGTTTTCTCTTATGTAGGATGTGGCTGGTACCTATTTCACAAGCTAACTCAGGTGCAGAGACTAGCATAGAAGAGGCACACAGTAATTAGAAGTACAGTATTATTGAAGTATTGTCATCTGCTCCTGTGTCTTACCCAGTGCTTGGTATATAGTGAGGGCCTAAAGGAATGTTTTTCGAATGAGTATACACAACTTAAATAACAGAAGAGAATATACTGTGTCGTACAGTTCCTTTTCCCAAGACATGTCACAACATGCCAAAACTTCTAACACAAAGCACTGCACCAGATACTCGAGTTGCAACAAGGTCACGTTGTTCTACTAAACACAAGATAAATAAAAGATAAGAACTAATTATACTGTCTCCTAGTTCCAAAGCACAGATTCTCCAAATTCATTCACTCATGAAGCACTGAATTCCTATTATATGTAAGTCCCTGGGCCGATGGCTCTGGAAACGAAGCTACATTTAAAAAAAAAAAAAAAGTTGCCTGCTGTGAATAAGCTCAGCAGCTGGGCAAGTAGTACAGAGAATGGGAAACAAGCGGGTAATAACTATCTTAGAGTGTATTAAGTGCTTGTCTTAGTTATCTAGTGCTGCTATAACAGAAATACCACAAGTGGATGGCTTTAACAAACAGAAATTTATTTTCTCACAGTCTAGTAGGCTACAAGTCCAAATTCAGGGCATCAGCTCCAGGGGAAAGTTTTCTCCCTCGGCTCTGGAGGAAGGTCCTTGTCATCAATCTTTCCCTGGTCAAGGAGCTTCTCAGTCGCAGGGACCCCAAGTCCAAAGGATGCACTCTGCTCCTGGTGCTGCTTTCTTGGTAGTATGAGGTCCCTATGTCTCTCTGCTTGCTTCTCTCTTTTACATCTCAAAAGAGATTGGCTTAAGACACTATCTAATCTTGTAGATCTCATCAATATAATTGCCACTAATTCATCTCATTAACATCATAGTGATAGGATTTAAGTACAGGGAAATCCCATCAGGTGACAAAATGGTAGACAATCATACAATACTGGGAATCATGACCTAGCCAAGTTGACAGATATTTTGGAGGGACACAGTTCAATCCATGGCAGTGCTCTACATGGATAGTGTGCTGCAGAAGCAGAAAAAACTCTCTGGTGAGGGGTAAGAGGGAAGGACATTTCAAGAGGAAGGAACAGCAAGTACCAAGGGCAAGAAGCAGCAAGGCGTATTAGGAGAAAGTGAAATACAAGGTTCCAAGATCAAATAATGAATATTTTATTTGCCACATTGAAGATTTCAGGCTTTAATTATCTCAACATCAAAACATTTAACAGGACAGACTGGGGAGACTGGATATGACATGGTCAGATTTGATTTGCTTTTTACAAAAATCACTCTGGTAGGAGCAGATCAGATAGGGTTTGGATTAGAGAGCAAGTCTGGTGGGGAGGTAGAGGGTTGCTAATGGTCTGTCAGAGAGATGTTGAGCGTTGTGGAGACATGAAGAGTCCATTAAAAGTCTTTCCCAACCCCAAATCACACCTGTGTCAGCCAAGCTCCTACTGATGTTACTATTACTTGAGGAAATGAAAGAAGTTTAGAAAT